TATATATATTTTTTTTTTTTTTAAATCAAACATGGAGAGCTTCTGGCTGTGGTAGCATGTCACCAAATGTTTTCACAGAAAAAAGTCAGAAAAAAAATCTGTCTCCAAAATTCTGAAATACAGAGAGCGCGCCTACACAATGCTGAAGCTGAAATTTTGCACTTGTTAAAGGCACTTTGGAATATAATTTAAAATAATCAAATTTAAATATGATCAATCAGAAATGTTCTCTCTTTTTAAATGTATCTATTAGTTTTTATTTAGCAAGTTTTAATTTTGATCAAACTGATTGTTCGTGACAAGAACTTACAAGAATTGAATTTCCTGGAGGAACCCATCCGAGGGATAAAGTTTCATCTAATCTAAGAAGAGCATCTCCTCCAGCTCTCATACTGTAATGTAACCGCTGTGTGGCAGGCAGGTATTAGACCCAAATGCAGGGCACAGGAGACTGAAAATGCTGCACTCAAACAAAATACAAAACAAAGAGTGGCCAGGAACAAAGAAACCAACACTAGGAAAACAAAGAGCAGGAAAACGTGCCGCCATTAGGGATTGAAAGTTTTCTGCTTTTTATTTGTTATTTTTGAAAGTTTTGACATAATTATATTAATTTTATCATACAGTTTCTTTTAACTGCTGCATCTTAATGGTTTATCACAACGTGGGAATTTCAAGCTGGAAACTGGTTTCAAAAATCATGATAAACTGTTTTTATAAACAGGCAATTCTCATATACAGACATTTAGTTACTTAATTAGATGATTTGTGCAAAGCCAGGCGTGTCAGAGAATAAAATACAGAGTTGAAGTTGAAATTCTAAACTTCATGTTGCTTCAGAAAATGTAAATCTAATTGTAATTTTTTAAACAAAATACAAGTTAAAGTATAAAATATAACAAACCAAAATCTTGCCACATTTAGGATATGGAGAAAGTCACCATTCCAAAATACAAAACAAACAAACAAATTTATTAAAACGAATGGAAGATGATGATGTTGCCACAGGCGAGGGTAAATGCACAAGGCATTACCAACACCAATAATAATAATATTAATAGCACAGACAAGAGAAAGAAAAAAAATCAAATGCTCCTCCTCCTGTTAGTGGTATTAAATAGCTCTCCCACCATCATCTCTCCACTCAGTTCTTAGCCCACACTGACAACATGCTGGTGACTCTCTGTGCTCTCATCACTGCTCTAACATGTAAAGAGTCTAAAATATACTGAAGAAAAGACTTCATGTTAGAGTTAAATGTCAGTGTATTTGTCTTAACTCCGTTTGTTCTTGTTGTTTGCAGGTGTGAGTGGTGTGACGGTGCTGACACAGAAACCTGTTTTATCAGTGAGGAAAGGAGAGACAGCCACCATGGACTGTAACCTGGGGACTGTTACTAGCTATGCTGCTGCCTGGCATAAACAAATTCCAGGAGGAAGTCCTCAGCATGTGCTGAGGATGTATCATAGTTGGAGTTCACCATACTATGGCTCTGGGTTCTCTGCTCCAAAATTCACATCCACTCATCAGTCAACATCAGATTATCGTTTGATCATCAAGAATGTGGAGGAGGGAGACTCTGCAGTCTATTACTGTCAGACATGGGATGGCTCTGCTACCAGTGGGGTATCACAGTGATTTACACTGTGACAAAAACCTCCACACAGATACTTCTGCTTTTTGATGCTCTTTCACATCCTGATAAAAGACACCTTCAACAAATACACTGAAACCCCACCACCTTCAAATACTGTGTTATTTTTTTTCTTTTAATTTTTTTCATTAAAATCATGAACAACCACACATGGGCAAGGCCACCTCCTCATCCAGTTCCTCACACCCAGAGCTGATTGCAGGCAATCAAGCCAGAGATATTTAAGCATCACGCTGACGTTCATTCACCGCCAGTGCGTCATCAACCCATGTTGGTAACTGGTTCTCATGTTTCAAGCTCTGTTTGTCATTTACCTTGCTAACCTAACTTTCTTGTGTCTACAATTCCTGGACTCACCTTGTCTCAAACAGCTTACACTCCTCTCTCGGACTCAAGATATCAAACCACCATTTTGTAAATCACTCTGTGCCTCACATGCCTGCCCTCCTGCCACCACACTCCATCTGAAACATCCGGATCTGAGGTCAGCCTTTCCACACTGCTCAGTTCACCCTGGATTCTCGCCACCCTCCTCTCATTGCTCTTTTCCTCCACCTGCAAGTAAGAATAGTTACATAATCTACTTACCAACTTCTGAGAGCCACTCGACTACTTCCCTAACCCCGTTATCTTCTCTCCTTCTGCCCCATTCCAGTCTGCATCCCAGGCCCTATTTCCCCTCTCCAGATCCACGTCCCCTTAGCTACATTACCCCCAGCTTCGCCACATCAAGTTCTACCTTTCATTGCTTCTTGTCTCAACACACAGTGACATTATGCGGCTGACTCTCTGTGCTCTCATCACTGCCCTAACATGCATGGGACCTTTATACTTCAGATTAGTAGTTACTTGTTGGATTCATATGTGCTTGTGTTTCTCTTGACTCCATGTTTTCTTGTTGTTTGCAGGTGTGAGTGATGTGACGGTGCTGACATAAAAACACTGTAACAAAAACCTCCTCACTCATACTTCTGCTTTTTGATGCTCTATTTTTCACATGCTGACAAAACACCCATTCAAAAAACTCAGTGTAAACCCACCACCTTCAAATACTGTGTTTATTGTTCTTTTTGATTTTTAATATTTGATTTTAATGTTCATCAATGTAAACCCACCAACTTCAGACAGTCTGTTAATAAACACTGAATTACTCTTTTTGATATATTTTAACATTCATCACTGAAAGTATTTTAAATATTGAGGAAAATTATTGTACTGTGATTCTTTTGAATCAGTACTAAGTAGAAGTACAGATACCTAGGTATTTTTTAACCTAGGTATCTGTACTTCTACTTAAGTAAAGAAAGTTTTCACTTTTGCCACCTCTGTCTATCTCATTGAGACTATCTCTTTACTTTGTTACATATTCCATATGTACAGGGAACAGCCTATAAAAAATGGCACACCAAAAATACCTGGAGTCAGCAGGTACAAATGTTTCAAAGAAAACAGTAAGCAATGCATTCAATATCCATGCCATGAGAGAGATGACAGGAATTCTGTTTGCTGGTATAAACAAGTTCCTGGACGGTTTCCTCAGATTTCTCCATTCTGACAGCTCACCCAGCTTTGAAAAAAGGTTCCTCAGAGACAGATTCAACTCTACATCCTCATCAAACATTAATTACCACTTAACTATGAAGCAGGCAGAAAAAGAAGACAATGTACACAATGTACAGTGATTTACATTGTGGCTGTTTTCTTAAGGCTCATTCACTCAATAGTCCAAAGGAGAAAACTCATTTTAACATACAACCTTCAGATTAGAGCACGGCGATATGACCAAAAATATTTATCACGATATAGATCTGAAAATTTGCGATAATGATATAACTGACGATACAATTGACACTAGACAAAATACTTTACAATTCCACAATTTTATTAGTGCAAAAAAAACCCCATCAATGTATTTCACTTAAAAAAGCAGCTGTTTTTTGCAAGTTATATAAAATTGTAACAGTGCAAAAGCAAATTTCTTGTTGACAGTTTAACCAAAAGGCATTTCCAGTGGAAATTGGCCGACATATCCTCAGTATAACCATGTATAATATCCACAAAACTTAAAAAAAGTTAAACTTGTAATATTATGTTGAAGCACCGTACGTATCACTCCGCGAGGCTCCTGCTTACGATAGCCGTAATGCTCTGATAATCCATCAAGCGGTGCGGCTTCGTAGCTTAGCAAAGTCATCCTGAAACATTTGACAGATTTTCGAGCGCCGTGTACCACATAAAATTGTTTCGAGGTCAGTAACCACAACTAGAATTCAAACATAAGGCACACGGGATTATAAGGGGCACTGTCGATTTTCAGAAAAATCAAAGGATTGATTTTAAGTGTGCCGTATTTTCCAAAAGACACGGTAATAACGACGGCCCGCTAGCATGCACTACCAAAAATAGTGCTTTGTTGTGTATCTGACGGATGAAAGCTAAACCAGTTCCACACCACTGAAGTTGCATTTTTACAAACCAGCTCTGGTTTATCCGTTTCATTTAACGATCCACTTTCGCCCTTCTCATTTGCCGTCACTGTTGTCCCTTTTTCGCCATGTGCGTATGAAAACAAAGGCACTGCGCATGCGCGTTTTACCCATATTCTATCGCGATATTTCATATTTCATTTTCTTGTCGTTGGCCAACATTATACCTGTCAGGGCCCTGGGTCTGAGCGACCCAGGATCCCTGGGCAGTTATGAATTATATTATTATTATTATTATTATTGTATGTATATTTGGTGTTGCTGTCCTTCTCCCTGTTTGCGTGTGTATGTATATGTGTTTC